GAGGAGAGAAAGGAGTGGGAGGCAGAGGAGGAAGATAAGTGGCAGGAGCAGAAGCTGGGGGAGCAGAGGCTGAAGGAGAGGTCTTGGAATGACATGGAGAGAGGAACTGGACCTAAGATATTACTAAAAGCAAGTATAATGGGTAAAATCTGAATGGTAGGAAACTATGTGGGCTTGGAGGTTTAGGATGGAATAACTATTGCCCAGCATTGTGATCTAGGTTAATTAAATAAATCCCAGTCTCTGTGTGGTGATTTGTGTAAACAGCTGGTTTAGGATTAACCGCAGCTTTACTAAAAGATACATCAATAGTAAATGTTAATGACCAAATACAACACCCAACCCTACGCAAGGCACCACAGGCAACTAAGGAGTCCTGAGAGCAGAAGAAATAGTCCTCCCCTAGGCAAGAGCACACCAGCTGGTCATCTTATACCAAATGGCCAGCTCTGAAAACATGTACATACAAGTAACATGTACTTGTTATATGTTATATGGATGGAACATACATACACACACAACAAGTAAAGAAAAAGAGGTTGTGAATTTGAAAGGGAACAAGGGTGAGGGCACACAGGGGGTTAGTGGGAAAAAAGAGAAGTGTGAAAATATGATATAATTGCATTATAATCACAATTAATTGATTGATTGATTGATTAAATGTGGACAATTTCTTGCTCATGGTGGCCTCAAAACAGAAAGAATGAATGCACCAATGGCATCTCCTCTTTTCACCCTTTTATTCCATCTGTGTCCCCAACCTAAGGGATGGTGATGCCCTCATTTAGGGTGTGTCTTTCTTGGAGGCGACTGTCTCTGGGAATGTCCTCAGAAAGAACCCAGGAGAGGATTTTACTAATCTTCATAGGGATTCCCAACCTGATCAAGTTGACATTACCCAACATAAGATCATACTGCAACATACCACAACCCTAGCTTCCCAAAGCAATAACCATTGTTTCCACTCTTCTACCCTGATAACGGATGCTCAGCATGAACTCCAGGATACACAACCAAGGGAGAAGATGGTAAATACCTTTTGTGTCTACAAATTCTTCTGTTTCAGGTTCTTTTGCTTCGTCTTTCACATCTCCTGAAGCCAAGTCTAAGATGAGAAATTGTATAATAAATAATGAAAGAAATCTGTGTGCACTCAGGATTCAGGGGCAGTGAGAGAGGGGACTGTCATCTGACTGTACCAGAGTCTTCATCCCTCTGAGCTGGGCTCTCCTTCAGCGTCTCCACCATGGCTACATTGTAAATGCGCTCTGGATCCTGGAGATAAAGTGAAATGACTTCTGAAAGCGAAATGACAGACTTCTCCCAAGTGGAAAGTCACGAGGAAAGGCTCTTAATCCCTCTTACTGTGCAGGCCCACTGTTACCTTGAATTGCAATCCTCGGAGGCTGTGGATCAGCTTTGCATAGCGCCCCCTCTCTTCCATCAACTCCTTGTGGGTGCCCTTTTCACAAATCTCTCCATCTTCTAACAAAATGACCTCATCACAGGACTCCAGGAACTGCAGAGACAGTGCAGCAATCCTCAATGACTCTGCCTTGGTGAGAGCAGTGAGACAGCCCACCCAACCCTCGTCCACCAAACTCCCCGCCTACTGTCCCAGAGTCACTGAGTTATAGGGTTTTCAATCCTGGCACTAACAGCATGAGGAGGCAAATAATTCCTTGTCTTCAGTGCATTGTAGGCTATTTCACAGTCTCTCCGGTCTCTCTACTCACCAGTAGAATGCCTTTCCCTGGTTGTGATAAACAAAAATGTTGGCAAGTGTTACCAAGGGCCCCTGGGGCAGGGGGATCCCAGTTGAGAACCACTGAGCTAGTCCCCAGCCTCTTGAGCACAGAAGCTGGGCTCAGGCTGCCACAGTGTTGCAATCAAAACTTCCTTGGCTGCTTCCTTCTGAATGAGTGACCCTAATAAGAAATCAGTTGGCTATTATGGAGGCCATGGTTTGGTAAGGATAAGAAATACGGTCTCAGTCCTGTCAGAAGCCCCAACCCACTGAGCCTAGGGGATAGAAACCAAGTCACGGGCCACATCGCCACCAGCTTTAACATTACAGTGATTATGTGAGAAATATTATATGCCTCATGCTACCCAAAGCACTTCTGATCTCCTGACCCTCCAAGACCCTTCACGTTCACATCCATCCCGTGATTAAGGAATTCTGCTAAGAGGGACTTGCTTTTATTTTGGAAGAAGAACGAGCTCTTCTCGATGGGTCCACCCATCAAAGGGCAGATAGTCCCCTCCAGGGGGCAGGCAAGATGCTGGGAGACTGGGAACAGTCCTACTCTAAGAAGCCAGAGCTCCCGCTTTGCACTTCCACTCTGTTCAAGGCCAAATCCCACCTGGCTGAACCCCATTCGAACCCTGAACACAGGGGCTACCACTCATGGCGGTACACATTTGCTGGGGTTCCCCAGGCAGGAGCCTGGCTCTTAGTGCCCAGTGGCGACCCCTTCTGACAGAACTTCCTTTCCCCACAAGACATACTTGGACCTCACACACCATTCTCTAATGTTTCACAGCCTGATGGCACATCTTATCTCTCAACCTCTGTGGCTCCCGACCCAAGGAAGCTGGCAGCGTGGGTAAGCCATTCATTTTCCACATGAGGAGAGGAGGGGAGGCACACGGGGCCCACTACGGTCTATCGGCGTTTCTGCCCGTGTGTGGGTCCACAGCCCGGACTTGAAAGGGCTCGCAAAGGTCCCTCTGGCCAGCGAGCCCTCGGCTCACCCCAGTGACGCAGGGGTAGTAGCTTCGTGCAGCCGTGCTCTGCGAACACTTAGGAAGCTGAGCCCTGAGTAGATACTAGCAGCTGACTGCTGGCCTCGCTTTGTTTCCTCAAGTAAACAGACGAGTGACTCTCCTGACCGGCTACTCCAAAGCAGCCTAAGAAATGTTCTGGAAAGCCCCAGGGCTGCAGTTTGAGGCTGAGCCCTCCCCTCCCCCAAAAAGATTGGGATGAAAAGTGCATCAAGACTATGGTGCCACCTGGTGGCCCTCTTCCTTTTCCAACAAGCATGAAGTGAATGAAAATGAATGACCTTGGAAAGGTATAGTACTGGAGAATCTGGGAAAATACTAGCTTGCCCAAGATCATACCGATGGCTAGTGAGCACCAAAGATGGCCAGGAAGATTTACTCTCTGTGAGAGATCCTGGAGGCACAGCTCTGTCTCACACCCGTCAGAACCCAGGACTCCTCAGAAAGGCAGCCCTTCCGGGGCAGGCTGTTGCCAGAGACTGGGTATTCACAAGTCAGGGCTGTGATAACCACACTTAGGACTCTGGCTAGGCCAGAGGTCATTTCTAATCAAAACATGGGATTCCAGACTGAACCCAGACAGCCTTCTCTAACTCGGCCCTGACCTGCAGGCGAACTAGGAGATCTTGTCCTACTAGCCTCAGTATTTTCTAGAGTGGTGGCACACCTGCTAAAGAAACCAGACACCTACTTGTGCAAAATTTGAATGTTCAAAGCTTATTCCGGGGAGGCTTGGACTGGGTTTCCCAGGCCTTTGAGAAGGCCCTCTCTCTTCAGGGTGGTCCTCCTGGCTTCAGCCAGAAGGTCCCAACATTACAGAGTCCTATAGCTACGGCGACCTTACTTGCTGTTTTGATCCTCCCACCAGCTCAACTCCCCCACCCCCGAAAAGCAAAGAGATCTGCCTCCTGCCCCCAGATCAAGCCAGATGGCCAACGAGACAGAGCTTTCTGCATCGCTGTCCCAATGGGCCATCTCCCAATGCCTGCGGGACACTTTCTACATTGAGAGGTGCAAACATGTAAGCACATACATACACACCCTCACACCCATAGTCTCCCTCTCTCACACACATACACACATGCTCAAACATGTACACACTTGCACACACGAGTTCACACGCATGCACACACATATGCATGCACACACAAACATGCAAACACACACATACAGCTTATCTCCAAAACTTGCCATACGGAGAGTAGAGAGCATGGTGGGGAGCCCTGGATTATCTTGGGTAGAGAAGGGGTCCTAGATTCCCATTTTATAACCTGTATGTGGGACAAAAACAACAAGGTCTGTGACCATGCAGCCAAATTCTGCAGTTTTAACATAAACCCTGACCTTTTCATCTGCAAGATTCATCCTCTTAAGCCAGAGAGAGACTGTTTCTCAATTGGAGACAGGCTCTAAGAAAGCAGGAGTGCCCTGAAGCCTCAGCGCTGGCCACTAGGCCTGGCTACCGGAGCCTTTCCTGGGTTAGGGGAAGACTGGGGAGCCTGCGGCCTTCATCATTGAAGTACATGACTTTCTGGGTAAGGAAAGAAAGCAGAGCTTCCACAGTCCTCAGACAAGGGGCCCCTGACCTCAGACCCATCAAGCCCCCATTGGAGAAAGGATAGAGCCTGAACTGTCCCTGTCTGACTCTTCATTTCCTTGGCACCAGTGGCCCAGATCTCAGAGCCAACTGATCTTGGAGAGTCTAGTCTGTAGTGGAGGAAAGGTCATGTCACCACTGACCCCAAAGACTAAGCCAATGGAGTCATACACAGAGAGAAGCAAGCACCACGAAGCTGGACTCGCCAGTGTCTCTTACATTTCCTGCCCTCTCCATCCCCTGTCCAGGGAAAGTCAGTTTCGGGTGGAAAAGGCACATTTTAGACAGGATAGGAGTCTCTTTGAACATCAAAGGCTGCGCTTAGCCCGAGACCTCATGGGTCACACATGTCCCCATCACCTGCAACTGGTGAGTAACCAGGACCACAGTCTTCCCTTTGAGTGTCTTCTTAATGCACTCCTCAAAGACGTACTTCCCCACGTGGGCATCCACGGCCGAGAGCGGGTCGTCCAGCAGGTAGAGCTGACGGTTGGCGTACACAGCACGGGCCAGGCTGATCCTCTGCCTCTGTCCCCCCGAGAGGTTGACACCCCGCTCCCCAATCTGTAGACAGAGATGAAGACACTGCCCGTCACTAAGCCCACATGCCACCCCATAGTTTTTATATGCCAGGAGCTTCCTAAATCTCCTCGGGACTTGGGGGGAAATGCACAGGCCAGTTTTCTCTGTCCGCAATCTTCCCGGCCCCTCGCACTAAATGGGGCTGACTGGAAGAACTCTGTCTCCCTCACTTCACCGAAGCACAGTCTATATCGACTACTATATATTGACTGATAAGGTTTTTTTGTTTGGCTGGTTGGGGTGTTTTTGTTTTGCTTTGTTTTGTTTGTTTGTTTTGCAGCAAGGAACTTTGGAAGAATGGAAAATGAAAACGAATAATGAAAAGGAGTGCCTGGGAGATGGACCAGGGGCCCTCTGTTGACTTTCTTGTGTGCAACTGTGTGTCCTCTGAAAACAAGACACATGCTCTCTTGCTCACCATCAAATCCCTAAGACCCATCACATGATTTGAGGTATGGATTAGAGGCTCAGTAAACATTTGCGGCAAGACGAGAAGCCTAGGTTATGGTTTCCTGGGAGTCCCAGCCTCCTGAGCACTGAGTGAATCCCACTGTACCCGGATGCCCAGCTCCTGAGCTGAGTGCTGGGAGCTGGGAGGTAGGAGCTGGGCAGGATAAGTGACATGTGAATCATGAGCTCACGGTTCAGCAGGGACCACCAGACATGCAAAAACAGCAGTCACCAAGGGCTAACCAACAAGCATTGACTGCAGCATTTGGTGGCAAAGTACTGCTGACTGTGGAGCTCCAAAGCCTTCCTCAGTGGAACTTGGGTAGCTCCTAATAGTCTAGGAGGTGGCCAGACACCTTGGCTGGCTGGCAGGGTTGCAGAGAGACAACTTGGGAGGGGAAGCCAGAGCCGTGTGTGACTCAGAAACACCAGTTACTCCTCACAGGCAGAGTGAGAGACCAGAGGAGCTGGTTCTCTGAGCTGGCACTGTGGGAAAGCTTGTCCAAGAGGCATGGTGTGCTGGGGAGAGAGAGAAAGGAGGGTGGCCCAATGGCTCTGGGCCACTTGAGCTCAACCCTGGACCAAGCCAGCACTTTGGACAAGCAGCCTAAGGGAAAAGGTCTGAAGGTGGCTCAGTACTCTTGGGCTGCGCGGAGTCAGAGAACAGGAGCCCTGGGATCACAAGTGTGTGGAGCACGCTGGGCCGCTGTTTGGAGGACAGAGCTGGGCCTTGAGGTTTAGGAACCCCCCTTGGGCTGATGAAAAGGTTGGAAGTGGGCTGTGGAAGCAACCATGATGAGGCAAGCACAGGTAGGCTTGGGTCCACCTCCAGTTAGGGGACCCCAAAGAAGAACTTGTGATAGGCAGAAAACAGACTTTGCAAGCATTTGCCTTGGGACTTTCTGCCCCTGCAAGATGTGGATATAGATGGAGGGTCAGCTGGAGTAATGGGGCTTGGTTCCGCTCACCTCAGTCAGGTCTCCATAAGGCAGGCTGTTCAAGTCCTTCTGGAGGCCACAGACTTGAACTGTGTGTTGGTACCTGCGGGCATAGAGGTCAGAATGGTAAGACCAGCATTTAGCCTTGCTGCCTAGGCTGCTCCTGAAGAAGCCACCGTTGTTGCTGGGACAAAGTGAGGACCTGGATGCTGCTCTGCTCAAGGCCCCCAGGCAAGTTGCTTTGTCCCAAAGACAGTCTCTCCTTGATCCCTGGGGTTTCTCCTTGGCTCAGGGTTGCTTCCCCCCCTTATGGGTTTCTGTCATCCAGAAAAAAATGACACCAGTGACTACAAAATCCTGGGGGTGTCGGCTACCATTGCTCTTTGAGTCAAAGAAGGAGATCAAGATGTGGGCTGAAATTGTTGAAATTGGCCTCTGGGAGAACACAGGGCTGAACTGAGGCCTGAATGTGTCAAGAGGACGTATGTGATGGAGCTGCATAGGATTACATGATTCCAAATGTCAACTGCGACCTCTGCTCTGTAAAGCTACCCTGTCCACCCATCATCACGACAGTGTTAGAGAAAATAAGACAGGTGCAAAGATGTCACTGGAGGGGAAAGAGGAAAGGTGGGAAATGGACCCTAGCTCTGGGGCTTCTGGGGATGTTTTGTTCCCCGAGATCACCCATTGTGGAGCCTTGGAATTCAGACTCAGAAGGACTTAGCTAGCTCTGCCCAGCGAAGTTACTGGGTAAATTCCTTGTCTAACTGGGCTCAACTCCACTCACACACAACACCCCATAGGAGTCCACCTCTTGGGGCTTCTGGCATCACACAATCTAGCGATGTGTGAGGTCCCACAGTAAGAGAGAAGCTGACATTCCACTGCTTCTACTTCCTGTGTATCTCAACCCCAGTCATACGCACAGTGGACAGAACTGTCCGCAGGTACCACAGTGACCGAGTGCCTCAGGATCGGCCACTGGTCTGAACAGCTGGTTTCCCTGGCGGTGCTCTCATGTGTGCCCCGTTTAAGCAGCTCCTGGGCCCCACACTGAGCCAGGGACTTTTGTTCCACTTGGCAAGCTTCATGCTGCTACTAAGGATGGGCTGGTAACCACAATGTTAACTGACAACAGCCTTTGCCATATATTCCCACAGCCTCACGCCTTCCTCGCCCTGGCAGACCGAAGCTTTCCGAAACCATGAGCCAAAGTAAGCATTCCCTCCATTAAGTTGCTCCTGTCAGGCAATCTGTCACACAGTGCTAAAGTAACTCATGCAAGCACATTGAGGCAATATCTGTGTTCCTTATGGCGCCCGGCAGATGGCAGGCCTTTGGTTAGTATTTGCTTTCTTTGCCTCCTTATTGGTAAATTAAGTAACTGTCCTGAATTCTGTGCTTCTGCGGAAAGAAAAGGCATTCCAGGTAGAGATGGTGTGGGCGTAAGCCAACGGGGCTGTGGCCACAAGACACTGAGCAAAGCAGTCTGGCTCCTGCCAAGGACTCCCACCACTGATCGGAACTTCCTGTCACATGTGAGCCTTCTGATGAGGGCATCACAACCAGGGAAAGATGAGGGCAGGCCACAGACTTACTGCTGGGAACACATTTGCTGGCCAATGCTGGCCCATGAGAAAAGGAGTCTGTGGGCTCAGATAACAAAAGAAGCCTAAACTGTAAGTGGTTTTGAGTGACCCTGCAGCCCCAATGGAAACAAGTGACTCCAGAGCCCAGGGCACCCGTCTGAGCTTCAGCTTCGACATCAGTGAAATGGGAAATGACACCCGGGTTCCCCTGCAGGACTCACCCGAGGCAAGCCGACCTAAGAAGTCATTGCTTTCCAGAACATAAAGACAATGACCTAACACGCATCAAAGGTTCATAACCAGAAGTTTGATTTTATTTCATTAGATCCTTTGAGGACACTAACAACAGTATCCCCTGATGGCGCCCTCGAGGACTAATCGTGTCAGGACTAATTGTGTGCCGGCTGCTCATGATCTCAAGCAACGCTTTAGTTACTTAGCCCAAATCAGAACTGCAAGACTCATTTTCACCAGTCAAACGACATATGCCCTGTTACAGAGAACCTCAGAGCATATGGTACCCTGCTCTGGGAAGGAAGCCACAACAACGTCCTCTCCTTGGGCATGCCATGTGGCCACAGAACGTGCCTCTCCTGAACTCCTGGGCCAGAAAAAAAAAGAAATCCCAGCTCCTGGGCGGACTCCGAGAATGTTCCATCAAAACTCAGTGAAGAAAGCTTTCCGCCTAGTAACCATTCCTAGTGGCCTGACAGTCTGAAGCAGGGTACACCAACTACGGTAGTGCTGGATACATCCCGGTAATCATACCTTTGGTGGTTGTACTTCTCTCCAAACAAGATGTTCTCCCTCACGTTTCCGTGAAAGATCCATGCTTGCTGAGAAACGTAAGCCAAGGGTCCGTTGACAGCCACGACCCCTTTCTGCAACTGCATCTGGAATGATAAGCAGAGGACCCTTAGAAGACATGCTACAGGCTCCTTCCCAAGTGCCGCCCTTTTCCTACACGAGCACAAGTCACATGGATATAGGGGTTGACAGACGGCTTGCAAACACCCTGTAAGCCCAAGTGTGGGGCTGAGGGTCTCTGGATGAGACACTTGCACGGTCGAGGCAGGAAATTTAGGACACCAGCTGGAGGGTTGAGACTACACATACCTCAAACCCAGCAAGGGGCCTGAAGAATGGATGGGTAACCAGAGGCCCCCTTCCTTGTGCCAAACAGGTCCACCTCTCCTTGGTCGGGTCCCTGGAGCAGAGGACAGCCTATTCCCCCTGGGGTGGAGGCTCTGGCAGACCCCGCCATAAAGAAGTAGCTGTGACTCAATCGCAGGGCTGTAACCATGCAAGAATTCAGGCCTTATGGGGCCCAAACTCCCTTTTCTTTCTTTCTTTTCACAAAGAATGGAAAATCCACTTTCATGTGGATCTTTGGGACTTTGATGGCACCAAGCAATCCAATTTAAAAACACGTGAGGCCCCGTTTATGACACTGAGTACATACAGGCCCTTAAGCTGATCCCACAAAGTGTGCTTCTGATAGGTAATGGTAGACAGTGGTGGTAATATCAGGATCCAGCTTTACCAGGAGAGGGGACCTGCAGGGCTGATAATCACAGGGTGTGGCAATGTGGCTGAGCAGGAAAAGTGTCACACGATGTGGTACTATTTTGAAAACCTTGGGAATGGTTGAAGGGGCCTCGAGTTAAACTTGGAAAAGATATGATAATATTAGCAAGAGCAGTTCTAGAAATAGTAGGTGCCTTCCAGGCACTGTGCTGAGCCAGCTGACGCTGTGACTGGTCTTGAGGACTTAGCTCCGACTACTGTGCACACTCCCTTTTCTAACCCTTGCCACAGCTCTCCTGGGCCATTTTGTAGATGAATAAACAAGGTCCAAAGGCTTCAGTTTCTTTGTCCAAGGGAAAATGGTGAGCATGTGACTGAAACAAAGTGGTAAACCCTCGTAATCTAGGACCCCCACTCCCTCTTCCTCCGTCATGGAGTGCCTGATTCCCTCACTGTTTCATGGAAGAAGGGCTCAATCTTCTCTGAGACGCTCCCAAGGAATAAATCAGAGGGTAGAAGCTGGAGGGAGACTTGCAAGTTTCCTTCCTTTCGACATCAACACATCCCAAAAAGGGGCTGGCTGTGAACAAATAAGCTTCCTGGTGCTGAAGTCTGAGCAGAGGCGGGGGCATCTCTCATTTTATTTGGAGACCTGTGCTGATAGGTGGAGAGTGTGGCTGGTTGCCAAGGACCCTAGGCACACATACTTAGGACCCAGAGCCCACCCAACCCAGGCCCTACCTCACCTCCAGGAAGGAGAGAAGTGGTCACTCCCCCTGCTGAGAGTCAAGGGAGGCCAAAGAGATAAACTACATTGGTGTGTACAAGACTCACACCCCTGTTCCAGTGGGCCCTGCTGAGCCTTGTTTCTTTATTCCTTCAGAGCTTCCCCAAATTCTCTCAGCAATGGGAGGCAACCCCAGCTCAATCAAGCTTCCCTTCAGGGACAACAGTAGGCAAAAGGAAGAGTTAATTCCCCACCTCCTCCAAACATGTCTTAATCGCTTAGGGTGAAGCTTGTAAAACATGGCAACATGAAGGCCTCCTGCAGATATAGTAAATTGCCTGAGCACCTACTTAGGGTCTCACAGCTAGACGTGGCAGAGGCAGGACAAGACCTAGGAACATCGCTCTTCCAACACAAGGTGTTCAGAGCGCACTGCTTTTGTGCATTCATTCCTTCACCTTTTCCTCAAGGCTCTCATGCAGGTATTGGGGTCTTGAAAACAATAAAAAAATTCATCAGGAGATGCCCTGAGTCCCAATTCCTTCCTTCTCCACCAAGCTGCTTTTCTGTACTTTATAAACCAGGACAGCAATGGGAGAAGCCACAGATTTAATGATCTATCACTTATTTAGACCAACATGGAGCTGCAGGCAAGGAGGCCATCACTATTTAACACCTGTGCTCGGGAGATAAACCCAAGACAGGTGAAAATCCTGACCCATGTCTAGCCATGCCTGGAGCTGCCAAATGCATCCACCCAGGGAAGTCCTCAACGACGTCCACACTAGCCATGGCAGCCAAAGCTGACCATGGCTCTACAGGCTGCTTAAGCCCCCCAAAGTCCACAGCGAGGAAACCCTTCCGCTGTCCTGTCAACGGCATCCTTCCAGCTGTCACCACACACTTACCTGTCCTAGGAGAGCTGAGATGAGGGAACTCTTCCCACTTCCAACATTCCCACATATTCCCAAGACCTTCCCCTGTCGGAGAAGTAGACACAAGACAGTTACTCCTCCACATTCTTGGGGGCAGGGTGGAGGGAGGCTTGGGCTCTATGCTGACCAGGCCGGCCAGACAACAGGCTACTGTCACCTCTACCAGGTGGCAGCTACAGCCTCAGCCGCCAAGCCTCGTATGCACAGCTTGGAAGGATGCGGAGATGTGAGTTTTAATTAAGCACCCTCCCTCATGCATCCAGCAGAGTACCCAGAGGGCTTTTGGAAACCTGGAAATCCTGCTCACATATTGATGTAAAACAGCCTTGTGCAAGTTTAGGAGACAGAGGCCCTCTGGACATGAGGGTTGTCCTGTGCTCGGAGACCAGGAAGTGAGTCTAACGGCAGGTAAAGGAGGACGTGACCCAGTGGGACGTGGGACAAACTTAAATATAGAGAGCTGTGTGGTTTCAAAAGTCACTTTTAATGAAATCTTTCATCATAACAACTCAGTTTAGAACATCGAGTCATTTCACTATCTCCTCAGGATGACTTTACAGCTGTGTATGTGTCAAGCCATCAAGTTGTCACTGAGTGCCTGTGATGCACCAGGCATTGTTCTGAGCACCAGCCCCCACCTCGCCCTGACTCCAGGGTCATGTGGAGGCACATTCTGGATCCCAGGCAATCCTAGCCACCCAGAGATGAGCCCAACAGGTGACCCTGGGTTGCCCCCTCCCCCGTCACAGTGCTTGCGTTTTAGTTGGAGATGGACAGAAGGAGAGCAACTGAAATGTGGACTTTGTCAAATGTGTATTATGGAAAGGGCAAGGAGTGGGTGGAAATGGAAGTACAACAAAAATTTATTCAGAAGGTGGATGCATTCTCTTGTGCCGGCCCCAAAACGCGTGCTGAGTGAGAGTTTGAGTGAAAGCAGCTGGTCTGAGGTGAGATGCAGGTGGCACCAGGAGTGAAGAGTATGGTCCAGGTAAAGAATAACACCTACAAGGCCCACTCTGTTAAATCGGCCCACACAGAAGGCAAACGAAGCTCCAGGCTTCCAGGGAAGCTTAAGCAACTTCTGACAAAGTGAGCTCGGCTCTGTGTGACACCCCAACACCCCTTTACTACCTGCGGGCTGCTCTCAAAGTCTAGCACTCTGTGGAAGATGGATGAGTACATTTAAAAAGAGGTAAGGCAGGGGTCACAGAGGCCTCTGGTGTAACCCCAGAGGGAGAGGGGCAACTGACAGCTTGCCCGATTCTATGTTTGAACGAAGGTTGCATGTGGAGCATTCTAGAACGTTTGCAAATACTCCTGATGCAACCCTTTAGGACAAAGATGCATTTGGAATGGGGCCAAATATGGCTCCTCCCCCATCCCAAGCTAGATTAGGTATGTTTATCACCTCCTGACACACCTAGCATGAGGGTTGCTGTCTGTCATCAGTAACTTCCTTGACTCATCTTTATGGAATGCCTCACATCATGCTAGGCACTGGGAATCAAACCATGAACAGGACAGAAGGAGTCATTGCCCTGTGGAACCCACAGTGTTGACAGTGAGTATATGGAGCTGACCTTTTAGACCACAATAGCACTTCAAGATGATGAGGCTAGTTATAGAGGCACAGTGTGGGCTAGCTTCATAGAGGCTCCCTGTAAGCCACCCTTGAGTCCTGGCCATTCCTTGGGTCCAGGTGAGAGCCTCCTAGGCCTACTTTTTCCCTTCAGGATAAAACCAGGAGGCCTGCATCCTCTGGGTGGCTCATTTGTTTGCTCATTCACCAAACATTAAGAGCCTTGCAGCAGGCATAGGCTCAGGGCTAAGGGCAAAACTCTGACTAACATGCCCTGATCTCATCCTAGAGAACAAGGTCAAATAGACTCATGGAGCTAAATTTGGAGAAACTTGGATGGTCTGAATTTAGAACTTTTAAGAGCAACAATTTAAGCCAGCCAAGATTGTTAAAGGGGAAAGGGAGCAGCGGTTGCTAACTGCAGTTGAAGCTTTCCATGAGCTAAGAATTTTGTATGTGGTTTCTCTGCTCTCACAACCGCCTTGTGAAGTGGACGCTATCATAAAAATCCGTGCAGCAGGCAAAGAGACAGACTCTTCAAGAGCTGAGGTGATGTGCCCAAAGTAAAGTAGCTGCTAAGTGGCTTCGGCCTAGAATGGAACTAGCTCACAAAATGCTGCCTGTGCCTCTAACGCACAAATCCAGACATTACCATATACTGAAGACAGTATGGAGCAAGGTGGTTAGAGGGCTAAAAGGCAGTTTCCTTATATGATACCAGTTTCCTAAGCCTGTCTGAAGAAATTAGGGTGCAGGCCCAGAGGCAGGGGAAAGTGACGTGAAATCAGTGCCTTCACTAAGCAGGGATACAAAGCTCAGCGAAGCCTTGAGCTCAGTGGCGCTAGGCTGACACCATTGTCAGGGAGCATGTGGTAGCTGGTTCCACTACCTGCAAGAGGGGCCTATCAAGCTTTCACCACTTTGGCTATGGGCTTCTCTTTCTGCATTGTTTGCATAGGGGAAAGCCATCAACAAAACAGGAGATTATATTGCTAGCCACAGACTGACACTGAGCCTGCTTCAGCAATGTCAACGCCACCTCCAGGCTCCCAGGCTCCCTAAATTCACAGCCTTATCTAGCAGTTCCACAACCCTCACTCTCGAGGAAAGGAAGGAGTGCCTGGCTGGCTCGTGAGCCCTGCCCCCACCCAATCTTTGCCGGGCTGTTTTTTTTTTTTTTTTTTTAAAGAAATTTGTTTGTGTTTTGTACAAAAGCAGTATTTCATGGAGAGTAGCACAGGCTGAGGGGAGGGGGAAACAGAGTACAGACCAAAGGCTCAGGTGTGAAGATGACGAGTTCCTGAATAGCCTGGACTTCACAGTGAGGTCCTGTCTTTGAACAAACAACAGAGTACAGACAGGGTTGTGTAAGTTGTGTAAGTATGCCATCTTCTTCCACTGGCCTGCTATGAGACCTGACCCTTGCTATTTAGCTGCCGTGTACCTCAGTTTCCTCAGTCATAAAATCGAGTAGTGGTTGGAGCAGCTAAAAAAGTTAATTCTGTGATGGGTACATAGGCAGGTTATTTTCCTGTGTCTTAGCATTCTAATGTGAAATTAGAAACGAGTTTTAAAGACTCTGTTAAAGCCAGTCAGTTTGAGGCTAGCCACACAAATTGGACTGTCCATTCAAAACCATAACTGGTAAAAGGGCTCAGGGATGGGGTGCTTGCATAATGCATGAAAGGCTTTGGATTCTATCTCCAGGGCCTTCAGGGAACATTTTAACTAGAAGAGCAAGTGCGGTGACTACAACAGCAGGTGTGGTGACCCCCATCTACAATCTAGCACAGGGACAATGAGGAAGGAGGATGACTAGTAAGACCAGCCTAAGCTACATAGAAAGATTTCACCTCAAAAACAGAATGAAACAAAACTACAGTGGTTCGAGAGGTGGCACCAGAATTCAGTACCAACGGAAACCATCTTCTTTAAGCTTGAGAGGGAGCAGGCACGTGCATGCACATGATTACAAAGTTGCACAGGGAAGACAGGGGACCTGATTAGAGGCATCCCACCATCATCTCCAGCTCAAGGGGTATGAGAAAGCCAGAGCTATGTAATACAAGGAGGCAGAGTAGAGGCCTTGCCTTCAAAACACACACTGTCTGCTACAGTTTGGGAGCCGAATCTCCCTCAGGCGGACATTGGTTCTTGTGATAGCACTGTTGCTAAAGAGTGTTGGCTTCTAGGAGCAGATCTGCTATAGGGGTGTTTAGGTTGTTGCAGTCATGCCTCCAAGGGGGACTATGGAACATCCATGTTTTTATTCTGTTTCCTGATACTGGACGTAGTGATTCGTTTCGCTCCCCACCCCAAGCAATGATGGACTGCCTTCACCAGAGGCCCCCAGCCTGATCTTGAACTGTCATGTCCAAATAATCTCAATTTCCTTTTCTTCTCCCTCTCCCCATCTCCTTCTCCCCATCTCCCTCCCCCTGTATTCCTCTCCCTCTAACACCCCCAGCCCTGTGTAAGCCAGAGTAGAGTTTTTCTCAATCACTCTTCACCTTATTTATTCATTTACTCATTCATTCATTCATTTTTGATAAAAAGTCTCTCACTGAACCTGGTTTGGCTATATTGACCAGCAAATTCCAGGGATCCCCATGTCTCCATGTCTCTGCCTCCCCAGTGCTGGGATTGCAGGTATGCATGGCTTTTTATGTAGGCTCTGGGGCTCTAACCCGAGTCCTCAGGTTAGCATGGCAAGCACTTCACCAACAAGCCATCTCCCCAGACTCCCAGACCCCAGCTCTTTACAGATGAAGTGCCCCAGATATTTCACTATCGTAATTCAAGGCTGACTGACACACTCACCTTCCGCACCACGAAGCTGATGTTGTGTAGGACTGACTTGGAGCTGCCGCTCTGCCGCTCTGGGCTAGCAACTCCCTGAGCTGATGGGCTTTGCTCACTGTACAGCTCTTGCCTCTGTTTCTTGAAAATGTTCCTTTTCTGATCTTGTGCCTTCGGTGGGTCACTTTTCCTGTTGACTTCTTGTTCCCATGTCAGGGTGGCATTTGCTAAAAGCAAGACAGTGTCTGGGTCTTCTGGTTGGGTGATGTAGGATGGGGGACTTTTAGCTATGAGGATTTTCTAAGATTAAAGAGACAACAGTGAGTGGGCAGATGTCATCCATTTGCAAGAATCCTACCAACATACCTTCTAATGACCTCAGATTAGAATCTTGGCGTTTCTACCTAAGACATCCAGCACTGACCAGACATTATTCCCCCAGGAGCACTGTGGCAGAAACAGTCCACCAATTCAAACTATCTGGGACGGGCATCTTTTAACTGAGACCTATGTGGGTCATCCACATTGGGGAATGCTGATCCAGCTACGTTCATCCTCATCTCCAAGGCAGTGAGCCTATGCCCTGGGGTATGGCTTTCACCGTATGACAGACACCTATGAAACCAAGGTCCATTTGCTCAGTCTCCTTGTCCTCTTCCCCACTCATATCAACATAACATTTACAAGTTACCAAATGGGACATGTCAGACTGTGGGGTAAATGGAAGAAATGCATGCACAAATAAGGCATAGCCTCTGATCCTGAAAAGATTGTCTGTGAGGAGAAGGGGGCAGGCACGGATCAGTGCAGTAAAGTGTGACAAGGACACAGCACTCTAACGGCCAGAGAAGGGACACATGATTCCCTTTCCGGGAGGTCTAGGTGTTTGGTGCCTGAGCTGAGTCTGTGCAGGTGGAGAGGAGGAGAGAGAAGGAGAACGTGGGTCAAGGCCATAGCGTGGCAGACAAGACAGCATGCAAGGCATAGTCTAATGGGTGGAAATTGCATGGAATAAGCCATCTGGGATTGATGGATCCCAGAGCTCAAGGCAGAACTTGGATGGAAAACAAAGGTGGAGGAACTGAGGAGCCAGTGATAAGGGCTCAAGTGCAGTTCTGGAAGAGACTGGAGTTCACAGGTTCTGAGCAGGTGAGCATTGGTGGGTATGCCAAACATTTAACAGCTCTTTGGGAGCTGAGTGTAAGCATGAGTTGAGGAGGACTGGTATTTCAATCACTCTATTTCAATCTAAGTTCAGAGAACAAATGATGGAGCCCAGTGAAGTTGATGGGACCGTGTGGAGGTTGGAGATCCAACAAATAACACCCTTCCTTGAATCCAAACACCCACACTTGTTTTCTAGAACAGGGGCAGACAGGGCAAATGAGGGACTGTTGGCTCGTGTACCTGTAAGTGTCACAGCACACATTCCTGTCTGGTCTTACAAGAGTGCCTGTCCTCATTGAGAGGCAGTGACTGGAGTCTCAGTTGGGGCTCTAGACTACTTGAAAGCAAGAAAATGGGTGCAGGATGCTGGAGATGACTTCAGATTTCACAGTCATCTGAGCTGCCATTCTGTACCCTCCCCCCAAAAATGCCCTTCTCCTTTTCCTGTCCTTACCTCAAATCCATCAAATGCTATTCTTGCATCTCACTTACACCTTACCATGTACATAACTTACTAGGGCATCTGATTCAGTACCAGAAGGAGAGCTCCCAAGGATAAAGACTCTCCTTTCTCTTTTGGTTTCCTATGTGCCTCTGATTGTCTTTGGTGGCTACACAGAGTGAGCAAATGATGACCCTGAGGTGCTGCTTGTCACCACACTCATTACAAGACAAACCAGGGGATGAGTCAGTGCAGGGCCAGCTACACTGACAGAGAAAATCAGAATCATGCCTTGGGTGAGTTGTGGAGGTTAGGAACCCCCTCTGTGGATAGAGACTCTGTCTTGTTTTCCCTGCAGGACATCTCTGGGGAAGCCTTGACCATTCATTCTTTCCTTGGCACACTGACTATTCCAGCTTCATTTCCACGCAGCCATAGACACGACCCAGCCCTCCAGTAGAGCTGAATCCCACCCCATTTCCAAGCATCACCCGCCCCTCAGAAATGCGCTCTCTTCCCTACTCACCCAGTGTTAGTTATACCTTCATTCTCCTTAGAGAGACACAGGCTTCGGCCACTGCTTTGACCGAGAAAGGCAAGATTGCAATTGAAAACTTCATTACATTAAACATGGCAATCACACTAAATGCCTGAAGAAGGAAGAGAGAATCGAGAGTTTAGGACTGCAAGTTGCTTTAGCGCCAAGCTGCTCTATCCATGGGGGGTTATACTCACTAACATAAGAAACAGTAGCACAGTTGGGATTCACAGAGGAACACTTTTCCATTTCATGGCTCAGAAACCATCAGTTGGCAAAGTGGGGGCAATGGCTTTGCAAACTCTTTTGCTTCGGGAATTTTTACAAAAATGATGGGAAACATACACCCTTGCTGGCCACCCAGAAGGGAGACTGTCCCACAACTAAGCAGCTTCATACATACCCATTCGTACTGTGCCTTTATTCAAACCAAGACTGTTCATTCAAAGCCCTGTGCAGATTTGCCTAACTCTTTTTCTGCTCTAGATTAGCCAGAGGCATCTGACCCTCTGGGGCCACACAGCACCTTTCTCCAGAGCACGCAGCTCCAAAGTCACTGAGCCCCACCCAGGATCCCTGGATATCGAGTATACTCAATGAAGACAAGCTTTCTCTCTCTCTGCTGGCTCTCTGGGGTGCGTGATTTCATCTTCTCACATGCCAACTTCAACTATCAGCCTCTTCCTAGCCCATTTAAGAAATTACTAATACAGCTTCCTCCAGCAGATCCCAAGTGAGGTGTCTGCTACTGAACGGGCCCTGTGGGCATGGTCCAGATTTGAGCTAATTCTACATTGCTAAGAGGATAACAGCAATTGTTCTCAATCACATCTGGTCCTAACTCTCTAACTCCAAAAGTAAGACCTTGGCACACACAAACAAAAAACCAAAACAACAACAACAAAAAACCAGAAACAACAACAAAACCATAGATTTCCACAGACAGTACACAGGCTACCTGGTGGACCTGGAAGCCAACCTCAGGGTGCAATGACCCTAGCAGAGAAAGGGAACAAAAAGGATTCTGAACCTGGAGATCTTGGATTTTAGATCTTGCTTTCCTCTAAACTATCATGTCAGAAAAATTAGCATAATTTGGTTTCAACTTCCTTTCCTTGGTGTACTAAAACTAGAGGAGGAAATATGTTTGTGTGTGTGTATATGTATATTTATACATATATATGTGTGTGTGTGAATACATATACACATATACATATATTTGTGTGTGGATATATACATATATATGTATGTATGTGCATATACATATATATATATATATAGTTTGGGGACCATCAAAAGCAGTCACAATAATTGAGCAGTGTTCTGCTCATACAGGACACTATTGTCACTCATTCTGGCTTTGAGTTTGTGACTGGGTCACCAGCGTTACAGTGGTTTTAAAGCAGGTACAAAGAGCCTGAAAATGAAATCACCCCTCTCACATACAAAAATACCGAGGCTGTAAATGGAATTAGCAGAGGATGGCCAAGCAGAAGCTCCTGCTTCTCATCATGATCCCCACCTCCACTTCTTTTGACATCCCTGCTTTGGGTGCTGTTTCCTCTACAAACTTTGTTATCCTTGATCCTTCCCTCCCCCAAACCCCCCCCCCCCTAGCCCCCCCCCCACTTCTCCCTTGCTTTTGCTGACTTTCCTCCAGCTACTTGTCCTGCAGACACTTGGTTTTACTGTCTTAGCTGTGTTTTTCTTCATTTAAACCCAAGAGCTATTTTCTCTCTAGCTCAGCATTTCTTTATCTTTGAATGCTCTGTTCCCTTGTCAAAAGCCCTCATGCTTTACATTCATCCCACTTCCCCTCAGAGGCTTCAGCCCACACCCACGTGACCTGGGTGAAAGCAGGTAATGTAGAGCATGTAAAAGCCCCCCCACCCCCACCCCATAATTTCCCAGGCTTTATGCAAAACTACTCACTCACCCCCCCTCCTCCCACCTACACTGACAGGAACTATCTACTACCAGGCTGCTTACTGCTAATGAATACAAGGCCAGGAATGGCCAATGGCCTGTCACAAGTCATAGCTGGCAAGTAGGAGGGTCACAATTTAAACAGGACAGGCCCAGGTCTCAAGTTGAGAGGAACCCTGACTCAGACCCCAGCCTAATCTTCTGAATTCTCCCTACCAGAGAACAGTCTAAGGGTCCCCTGTTTGTAGCACACACCACCGCAGAAAGAACAGCCAAGCAACCAAGTTCTCTCAGCCAGATTCTCTCATCCCTGCCCACCCTGCCTCACCCTACCCCCACATTGTGCCCCAGTCCTAACAGCCACTCCTGCCCTGTGTGGACAGAGTGAGAGCAGTGGGCAGGCTCCTTGCCAGTCCACACATTCATGTGCCAACTGGATCAGAGTCTGAGGTACAGTGCTTTCCTAGGATGTGCGAGGCCCTGGGCTCAAAATCAACAAAGCACTGAAAAATAAATCTAAGTTTAATTAATTGTTTCCGTGAAATATCCTGGCACCCTTTGGTATATTGCAACCGGGGGTTCTGATGCCAGGCATAGCAAAGACAGAAAGGGGCTTCTCACCTGGGGCTTACCAAGGAGAGGGAGCAAAAGTGGCCTGACCTAGAGGTAGCCCTTACCACAGGGGCAGTGAGCTTGCGTTTCAGGATGATGTGGCAGCTGAAGGTTGACACGATGGCTATGGTGGACACGATGGGAGCTAGGGCTGAGTTTCCGCTTTGGACATAGCCAGCCTTTTCCAGCAATTTTCTCTCTCTCTTTCTTATATCTGCAAAAGAGAAGGCAATTGTGGGTGATCTTATTTTTCATGCCATACCCTAGCATTGAGAAATGTATTACTCCCAGGCTGGGAAAGGGGCTCAGCAGGTAAAATGTTTGCCATGCAAGTTATAAACCAGAATTTGGGTCTGAAGGACCCACGTAAAGGCTCAGCAGGAAGGGTCATGGCTGTAATCCCAGCACTCAGAAGGCAGAGCAGGGAATCTCTGGGGTAAGCTGGTGAGCTACAGTAGCCAAAACCAGCAAGTTCCAGGTTCAGGAAGAGACCCTGCATTAGTGGACAGGGTGAAGAGTAATCAAGGAAGGCACCACCATGTCAGTTTCAGGCCTCCACATGCATGCGCCCATATATATACAAGTATGTATCCACACATACACAGACACATATAAAAAAGAAAGAAAAATGTGTTGGCTTGAATGAGGATGGCCCCTTGGGCTCGTATGTTTGAATGCTTGGTCCGTGGTCTGGGACTAGAACTGTTTGGGAAGGATTAGGAGTTGTCTTGTTGGAGTAGATGTGGCCTTATTGGAGAAGGTATGTCATTGGGGGCGGGCTTTGAGGTTTCACGTACCCACACCAGGCCTGCTCTTGGCCACCCGCTCCCTGCTGCCTACAGCTCAGGATGGAAACTCTTAGCTATGGCTCCAGCACCATACCTGCCTGCCACCACCATACCCCTTGCCATGGCGATCATGGACTAACCCTTTGAGACTCTAAGCCAGTTTCCAATTAAATTATTTCACCTTGGTCATGATGTCTGTCCACAGCAATAAAGTAGTTAATAATACAAACAAAGAAACATGAATTATGTCTGCCTGCTTCTCCTCCCAAATGAGGGCAAAATGAAAAATATCAAGACCCCCAGGAAACAAAGCCAGCAGCGGTCCTGCAAGCTGATGGCTGCCAAGGTTCCTCCCAGCCCTGAGACTTCATATATTGAGTCATAAAGCAGATATCTACAGGGGTCAGACAAGGGCTGTACCTGACAGGAATGGGCACAGATGAATCCAGGTCAAGAGTGTGGAGCATAACAGAATGGAAAAATCCACTGGGCCCAGGGAGCCTCATGTGACTGGACCTTCAACTGCCCAGACTCCGTGGTTGAACTTTTACATGCTAGCTCCCTAAGTCTAGATGCAGGGAAGGATTTGAAAGGAACGTTTGTAAAGATCGCAGAGCCACGGGCACATATGGTAGCCTAGAGACAGGAAGAGTGGAGCCCCTGCTACGTGTTCCAGGCACAGATACAGAGCCTCAAGAGAATGCCTCATCTCCATAAGTCCTCAAGGTGCCCAGGGCTCTGCGTGGCTCCCTTAGATGTTTATAGGAATGAACCTAACTCTAGCCTCTTGTACAAAGGCAGAAGACAGTACAGTGCCCTCTGAACAGCAGGACCTGCTCAGCAGGGAAAGTTGTTTCTCTTTTAGGTATTGGGTCCAGAGCTCCACTGCCCCTGTGCCTTCCACCTGAAGAACGTGTGGTGTCCTCACCTTTCTTTGCTCCTCCCAGGAGGGCTTCCCCTAAACCCCCACCCCCAAGCTTCTCTTAGTTCCTCTGCAGTATTCTCCCCCTCTACCTTCCAGAACCGTCAATCACGTGTTCAGTCATTCAGGAGTTTAGTTTGGTGTCTCCTATATGCCAGCTGCTGTGCCTGGAGCTGGGGACACAGAGTAAGCAGGATCCCAGCCCTCTCCCGGTGAGGAAGATAGGCAATAAGGAAAAGGAGAAATAAATACCTACAATCCCACCACTTGGAAGGCTGAGGCAAAAGGATCTTAGCTTGGAGGCCAGAACGGGCTCCACAGCTAGTGCTAGGCTAGCCTAAAAACACACTAGTGCAAAAACAAACAAACAAAAAACAGGAAAACCCTGCAAAAACACAATAATAACTGAGTTCCATAATTTCAAATTGTGTTGGGTGATCAGAAAGAAATAATCAGAGCTAAGTGATAAGGAGACACTGGTAGAGTGTGGACACATTTGGAACACTGGTCCAGCCTCTGGAAGTCAGTAACTGGGAGGAGGGAGATCCAAGGCCAACACAAAGTCGAAATGAACATGGAACAGAGGAAATTTCAGTCCAGGAGCCTAAAGCATGAAGGAGCCTGGGATGAGGCTCTAGAAACAAACAAAGATCCTCATGGTTGGAGAAAAGCCAGCAAAGGTTACAGGAAAATGAGGTCGCCAGAGGCCAGAGCTACTGAGCCAAATGAAGGAGTTTGGACTTCACTAGAAAGATCTAAATTTTAATAATCTAAGTGAGATAAGAAACCACTGAGGGATTTCTAGCAGGGGACAGGGGTGGCCGCTGTGGGAAGAGAAGTGGGCAAGACGGGGACGGGTGGCTGCTGGGAGGAGAGAGGCTGCCTGCTCCTGCTCCTGCTCCTGCACAGTCTCTGAGAGGAAACTGGCTTAGACCAGGGTGGCAGTGGAATGGAGAGGGAAGCAGATGGGCTCTGGATATGTCTGCAGCCAGCAAACACAGGGCCATTTCTGAGCTTCGACCTACCATCCTCCCTAACCTTTACAGTGGAAACCCTTTCCTAGCCATTTGTGTAGCTCCCACAGTCTTCAAATAGTAGGAATTTGTTCTACAGTCATTGAACCAAAATGACTTGAGCTACACTGAATTGGGTTAAGTTGAATTAAGCTCAGTGGAATAATAATTAACCATAATCATATATTAAATCAAGTTTAGAGTATGAAGAAAATATTTCTATATACTTAAAGAAGTCCTTTTGAGCTGCTGGTGTCCCAGCTGGGAGCTCACCCATCAGTGAAGAAGGACAGGTTCTCTAATATTTTAGGGGCAACATTTGTTTGTTTGACATTAGCTTTGTTTTAGTTTTGGGTGTGTGTTTTTTGTTTTGTTTTTGTTTTGTTGGAGTTGAGGGGCACAGTGCCTCATTATACAGTCCCAGCTGCCACAGGCCTTGCAATCCTCCTGCCTTATCTCCTAAGAACTGGAAGTACAGGCCTGTGCCACTTCACGGTTGTCTAGGACCAGTCTCTGAACCACAAACACAGCTTCACCCCAATTTTGTGCTGATGCATAGGTATGAGGGCATTGACTCTGGTCCTTGAGGAACCACCACCCGAAGCCATGTCAGCAGTTCCCTAAATGTCCCTGCAGTTAAGATTTACATTTAGAGTTGACTGACATAAGCTTTTAATAATAGCACCTCCAAAAAAAAAAAAAA